AAAAAAAACTGTTTTGTTGAATGACTAGGTTGAGTATGGCTGGTGTTGGTTCCGTAACCAAACCAATAAGAAAAAATCGATACTGAACCAATATATTCGATGACACTAAAATGTGAAACCGAAACCGAAACGCTTAGAAATCGGTAACCGATCTTCAGTTACCAAAACAAGGTTTTATTGATTCCATTATTATTATTATTATTTGAAGTTTTGGGTTTGTATGTGAGACTAACTGGAGTTGAAATTATGGATTGGTGCTTATGTTGGTTTGGATGGTAAATTAGATGAAATTATTAAAAAAATGACTAGGTTGAGTATGGCTGGTGTTGGTTCCGTAACCAAACCAATAAGAAAAAATCGATACTGAACCAATATATTCGATGACACTAAAATGTGAAACCGAAACCGAACCGATTAGAAATCGGAAACTGATCTTCAGTTACCAAAACACGGTCCAGCTTCGGTTTTGTACCGATAAGAAATCGAAAACCGAAAGGAAAAACAACAATGTTCAACAATCACTACGTTTCGGTTTCGGTTTCAGTTTATTACCGAAATTATCGATTAAGAGAAAAAAAAAATAGCCTATGAATGAAAGGAAACTCCATTGATCTTCCCATCATCTCCATCTCCTTCCATCCAAGGTAACTCCATTGACTGCTAGTCGTTTTCCACCAAACCCTTGGCCAAAACATCCTCTTCAAGCACCGGTCGGTGATCTAAAAATTGACCAGATCCTCAACCAAGTTATTCCAGAGGAGCCTAGACAGAAAGCGACCTAAAAATTGACCAGACCCTCAACCAAGTTATTCCAGAGGAGCCTAGACACACGCTTTCTGGCGGGTGCACGCCGCGGTGAGTGGAGTTGTGAAGTGATTGCTGCCATGGATTGACGTCGGAGGAACTTGAATTCGTCGTCCTCATAAATTAAATGGTTAAAGAAATACGAAAATGAATCAATTTGTATATAAGTGTATGAAGAAGCTGATACTCTGATGTATTGATCAATAATATTTATAAATTAAATATGTAAATTTTTTGAAAATGTCTTATGAAAATTAACTTTTGAAAAACATTGCAAAACATGTCTATATAAAATATTAACACCACCTAAAATGTTATATAACATGTGTAAGAATATGTAAATATTAATACATAACATGCGTAAAATATCTAATATGTTAATCACTTAAATTCTTCTAAACTAATATTAGAAAAACATATCTAAAATTTTATTACATATTATCTCACATTTATGATGTTCGATATTTTTAAAATTATTAAATTTGTATGGATACTCATGTTGGACTCTGTTATCTCTTTAATTTAGCGAGTTTAAATCTTATTAATCAAATTCTTCTACTAAATTTATGAAAATTGATCTTTCAATAATTCTTATGCGGTCAAAATTCGTCTCTTAACATTTTTAAAGCTACAATTTATATGATATATTAATGAGACTTTTTATATTCTTTAGGATTTTGTCTATGAAAAAAATTATAAATAAGATAAGATAAATTGGTACATATTCAACTAAAAAAATAAAATAAAATAAATTGGTATATATAAAACTATTCATTAATTTTGTTGTATGATTAGATATTATATTCAAATAAATCGTAAATTGATTTTATATTCAAAATTAAGTAAGTGTGACATAGGTTTTATATTCAAATTTAATTCTCATCAATTTGTAAATATGTTGTGTGAGTTCGTCTTATCGAATTATTTTCTATTCCAATATTAATTTGTATGATGTTTACTCGTTATTATCTTCTTACTCACTATTATCTTCTTACTCACTCCTTTAAGAATAAATATCATTTGACTTTGTAATTTTTTTGTTTTGTAAATGTCGTTTTAGATGTACTTATGCATTTCTTGTTTTATCCCTATCATAAATTCTAAAAAATCACATATTTGGTTCTCGCTGAAAAAAA